CTCCACGACAATGCACGACAACATGAGGCACGTTTGACGCAACACAAGATTATGGAGATGGGTTGGAAAGTTCTCCCGCACCCACCATATTCTCCAGACATGGCACCATCAGATTACCATCTTAATGAGGAAACGTATGTAAGTGTGGAAGGTGTAAAAGAGGACATCGACATGTTTTTTGCTTCAAATCCAAGTGATTTCTTTAATCGGGGCATTAACAACCTGATTATAAGGTGGAAAAGCATCATCGATAAAAATGGAGACTATTTCATTTGATAAATGTTTTGTTTTGATATAGAAGTTGTTCTGGTTTTTTCATCTAAAGAAAAGTGACATTAATTTCTCGACGACCTAATATATATATATATGTATATATACGTATGTTTTTATCCCCATTTTTCAGACTGCCTTGGATACTGCAGTTAGCATGAATGACACGTCCGTAATAGTAGACGTTCTGAATGTGATATCGTTAAGGCCGTAAGTGTATGCATTGTTTTAGATTTCGAAATGTTATATTAATAAAGAATAAGCTAGTATAATTCAATTGGAGAGTATAATGTTGATGTATATAAATTGTAAAATTGGCTCTACTTTCAAAAATAATATGACAAATTTCAAGACATATTTGGTAATTAACTGGAATCAACTTTTTTTTTAAATATGGAATTGCAATAAACATTCATTTTAAGCCAATAGATGACGCCATAGTCGTATATGTAATTGATTTCTTAAGTAAAGCAGATTAATGAAGAAAATAAATTACAGTGTTTGCTTCGAACGTATATTCTACCTCATAAGCAAAATAATATTAATTTGTTTTTGCCTTAGGGTATGAGGAAACGTGTGTTGTGCAATCTAGCCGAGAGATTACAAGTTTCTTAATACAAAGTCGTCGGTAAATAGAAAACATATAGTTGTTTTGTGTTTATAATGTTATTCGAATTAACCAAAATTCAGTAGATAACGTATGTCATTTTCACATGTTTTTAGCCAACTGTGGACATTAGACATGTGTCAGGTTGTTCTACCAACAGTTTATGATCTTCTACAAAATAGGTTTGAAACGTAAGTATCTCTTTACTTTCATTCGGGATTGAAGAAGTCAGTACGTAGATCTGAAAACTTAGTCGTAGATTGCTTTTTTCGCGGGTTCCTGCCAAATGTCAGAGATAAGTTTATGTTAAGGATTGGGAACTATTCAATAAAACAAGAGTGGTACTTCATTATATTGTATTAAGTGGTGCATTTCAGATTGTATTAATGTATGGCACGTTCCCAAGTTTAACTTTCTAGTATATTTTCCGTCTTTTTTTGTTTCATTATTTGGTAAAATCGAGTTTGCTGAGTTTTTTTTTATTTTTACAAAGTTTGTGTCATGGTTGAACAATCAGTTTGAATGAATTGCCTTCTGGTTTTCTGTGCGATACTAATTTGTGCATGGAATTATTCCAGCAAGTAACTAATTAGTGGTATTGGGGTGACTGTGTCATGTAGCATTACTTAATTTCTGTTATCACAGTAAATAGAGCATAATAATGTGATATATCACATGGTTCCAGTACTCCAACAGTTGAATTTATGATTTTGATAAGTTCTTAGTGATAGGCTCATTGAAAATAACATACAACCTTTTATTATCTGAAGTATGGGTTTGTTTTTCTTCTTCTAAGAATAATTAATTCGTTCTAATAAATAACACTTCTTATTAAATAATGACAGTTGGTGACGATTGAATTATGTTCACAAAGTATACCACAAGACTGACATTGAACAGTGAGATATTCAGTGTATGGCGATGATTACAAGAAAAAAAATATTGTTCGACATTTGTTATACTGACCAATCAATGATTGTCATGTTGTTTTTTATCTACTTTCTTTGCGTTTCCTTTTATTAACGTACTTTCTGCCTTGTTTCGACGTTGGACTTTCTCGTCCCTTCAATCTACCATGTTGTTTTTTTTTATTCTTAGTTTTACTTTCCTTTCTAAAGAAAGTGCGATCTGTTAATCACCCTTAAGTCGCCATTATTACGAATCGCAAACGCGAGTCAGAAATCTGGTTGGTACTGGTGGTCTCAAATCGATCTACCAGTCCGTTCTGTATAGATTTTGATATACCACGGCTAGTCGGAGGATTCTGATTGGCTAGTGGCTTGGCTTGGAATGTGGTACCGTCATTACATTTCAGTGGAGTCGAGAATTGGGGGAGGAGAAGGCAATGAAACAGTTTGACAAAATGGTGGAAGACAGCGCAAGCGTACTAAGGTCTTTGTCTGCTTCTTTCTGTAAACAGTATGTCGCATATTGTAATTCTTAAGTATATGAAACAAATATTTTTTGTAAAAAGGTAAAAGCAGATAACAGCTTGAAGTTGTTGCATTGGTTTTCATAGTTCATTGTCATCGCAGTTAACACCACTTTATCTTAACCAGGTAGCACCATTAGAATGATCGGACATTAGCTGGGGTTTAGAGTTTTATCAACAGTTTAAGTAAAAAGAGTTTTAGATCCAACGAATAATTTTTGTAACTATGATATTATTCCATAGATTAACATTTTATTTTACCATATACAGCATATGAATAAAGTGATTAAATGTGGATTTACGTTTTTAACTATTGTTGGGACATGTTACTGCTAACTAATAAGGGAAGTGGCTTTACTTTACGTTGTCAACTATCGTTGAGCGAAGTTACTGATTACTAACAATGGAAGTGAGTGTGGTGTTACTGCTTTACATTGTTACTGCTAAAATAATCATAACTTGGCTTACAGTTCTTAGTAATCTGGGAAAGATGCCCAAATGAAACGCACGCTTACTCATTTATAAGTTGGCAACATTTAACAACAATATTTAATTGTTTTACAGTATACATCAACAGAGAGAAAGCCCATCAAGCTTTTTTTTCTTTCGATTTTATTGGTGATTTGTGGGCGACTTAATAGCCCTTGCTAAAAGACTTTGCTGTTATGATTGTATGAATGTGTATAAAATATTTACTTTGTGGACTATTTAGAAATACATTTTTCATGATTTATAAACTTCGTTAAATGGCTTCATATATTTACTACTGTATATATATTTTTCACGTTGATTTTGCCTACCTAAATTATTGCAGTGAAAACTTTTACTGGATAACACGCAAAATTAATATTTGGTGTCTAGATCTGTCACTTGAAATCGAGAGTTATACTATTGGATCGCTAGGCCTGAATTTAACTGACATCATATAAATTATTAATAGTTTGAATATTACTTTCATACATATATATATATACATACATTTGCTGATGTTCATTTGCTAGCTTAATGAATAAGGCCTTTCTGGTGAGTTACAAATTCCCTTTAGTTTCGGGGATTCCT